ACTCACCTGAATGGGTAGGTGCCACGCACATGACTGTTAATCCCCTCAAACCACACATTAGGACTTTAAAAGACATGGTAGTCATCCCATATTTGAGGATACTATTGCTGTAGAGACAGGTTTCTCTGACACTAACTTGTGGCTTGAATGGATGAAACACAATGCTACTAAACATAACAAGTCTAACTGCTATGTCTGCGGAGGAGCGAGGCCTCACCCAGGTACTGTATCCCTGAACCTTCCTCCGGATATGAAGTGTGCGTTTTAAGTCTCTAAACGCATACTTCATATCCGGAGGAAGGTTCAGGGATACAGTACCTGGGTGAGGCCTCGCTCCTCCGCAGACATAGCAGTTAGACTTGTTATGTTTAGTAGCATTGTATTTCATCCATCCAAGCCACAAGTTAGTGTCAGAGAAACCTGTCTCTACAGTATTTAAACCTAAGCGGTCAGCATGTGAGTCATGGAAACTTAATATCCAATCATTACTAAAAATATTAACCCAGACGAAGGCATTACTATATATCCAGGCAACTATACTTGTTATGGGATATATGGTGAGATAGGGCGGTTACAAGCTACCTCTCAGATGACCTTCCAGAATATAATAAGCTTAGAGATGATTTTGGCAGGAAAAGGGAGAGTATGTAAAATACTCCCAGACACCATGACATGCTGTACCTATATTCCAGATAATACAGGCCCTAATGGTAAAGTAACGTTGGCAATAGAAAAGTTAAAGAGTTTGTCCAACGAGCTGAAACGGAATTCTGGGGCCACAGGTCCATGGGAAAGATGGTTTGGATGGATGACTGGACGGCAAGGTGCTCTGGCCCAAATAGGTGTTGCCATTTTAATAACGATAATCATCCTCGCTCTTCTTGTTTGTTGTGTGTTACCCTGTCTTAAGAAATGTCTACAAAAGACAGTTGATCAGACAATCGACCAGACCACCCCGACCTTCCTTCACCAAGAGATTGACGACATAGACCGTGATACACCACATACACCCTTACAGTCCCACCGCATTAATTCAACAGCTACTTCCTCTTAAGGACATTCAGGGATAGCGTCTGTCTCTACGGGCAGAAGTCTGTCGCAGAAGAAGTAGTGGACAAGCTGCTACGGGTTACCCGCGCAGTGAAGTGTTCGAGGCCTGTTCAGACAGATGTGCAAGATAGCCTTTTGTTATTTTTCTATAGGGACAGTATTAGAGTTAGAGATAGTAGTTGTTAGTAAAATAGCCATTTTTAGGGGGGACTGTTATGGACAGAAGAAATAAAATGGCTATTTACTAACGTCTATTTATTCTGTGTTCACTATGTTAAAACTGGCTGCTAGAGTAAATATTCCCTTCCCCCCCCTACAATGTGTTCAGTCACTATTTTCTCTACAAATTCCTCCCATCCTGTTAGCCTCCCCACCATCGAGCAAGCCTCATGTAACAAATTCCTGTGTTAAAAGAACATCTTCCTTTATTAAACTCCTCCCCCACTTCCTTTGTGCAAAGTAACAGCTATGTGCAACATGTAACAAAATAGAGAATCACTGTTAAAGTAACTACTACTCACTTCCCCCCTCCCATCGTGTAACCAAGATGGAGCTGGAATGTGGGTGGGAGAACTCTGTAATGACGACACTACATCCTGTAGGGGGGGTTTAGACAAGACCCCTTAGACTGTTAACCAATTGATGAATGTATACTGTATGTTAACTGTGACTCTGTACATGACGTATTTCTGCTTTAAAAGGGAATTGCACCCCCATGAATAAAGGCACTCTGGAGTTCTTCATAAACCTGCAATGTGTCCGGTGTGATTTACTTCCAGAAGACATGCGCACAATCAATTTAGAAAGGAGTAGATAGACAGATAATCAAAGTTTTCTTTGGTATCTAAATCACCAGGGCATGGTATAAAAAAGTGGGCATATATCTGATGCAGATGGCAATACACAATGCATTTGTCATTTTCAAAAAGGCAAATGCTGGACTGAATATCACTTTTCTTTCGTTCCAGTTTAACCTAATTTCTGGGCTACTTGAGTGCCACACAAGGAGACTAGCAGAAGAATGGAGGCAGGTCACTTCTGCTTTAGGATTTCACCAACCCCTAAAAAACAAAACCCCCAGAAAAGGTGCAGGGTGTGTTACAAGAAGTGCGTAAGAGCTGAGACCAGCTATTACTGCCCTGATTGCCCCTCTCAGCCCGGCCTATGTATTGGCCACTGTTTTAAAAATTTTCACACCCAGGCCAAATAAGTAGACCAGTTTTAGGGTGTGATTTTTAGTCATCTGTCTGATTGGTTACCGAAGCTTGGCTTTGTCTCCCGTTCATCCTGTCTTCTCTGATCCTTGACCTCGGCTTGTCCTATCGTTGTTCCGTTTCTCTTTACTCCTTTGACCTCGGCTTGTACCTTGACAATGCTCTGCTTGTATAGCCCGGCCATTCTAAGGACTGGTATTACAAGTTTCTCTCTCTGTGTTCTCTCTATTTGTGGTCTGTCTGTGTTTTGGTTTCGGAATCCATGACAGCTTTGCCCGGGATGCAGATTACTGGGTACTATCCCCGGATAAGTTTACCCCAACTATTCCCCCTTTTCACAGCAAATAGTATGCACTTGCTCATAATTTGAATTGATGAGCTGCTTATACTTAAAAATATATGTGGCCTTTGAGAGGTAATTTGCAGTCCTGAGCTGCTAAAATGAGACTTGGGCCCAGCATCCACTTTTGAAAAATTTGGAAGTGGTGTGTCTCCAATGTGCCCCTTCAACATCCACATAACCCTGAGAAAGGTACACATGGGGGTATCGTTGCACTAAGATGACATAGCTGAGCAACATATTAGGTGTTATACTGCCGTAGCACACATAAGGATAACAAAATAATATACAGTAATATCTCCAAGTGTGTGTCAAAAAGGCAGAAAAAATGCTAATTGCAACTAGACTTGGTACAAACTAACAAAAAAATGATCCTACACTAAGGTTTAGAATATACCTTTTGAAATACCCTGTGGTGTCTACTTTACGAAATGGTAGGCCTTTGTGGGGTAGTTTGAATTTAAAACCTGCTAAGATGCTTGGAAATTGCACATAGGCCCAGCGTCAAAATTCAAAGTTCGGTAAAAACTGATATGGCTTGGTCTCCTATATGGCACAGTAGCTTCATGAAATAGTGCCAAAGACATATAATGGGGGTGTCCTTTTACTCAGAAGACTTAGCTGAGCATAACGTGGGGGGTTTGAACTTAGTGGCACATGTGAAATATACAAAATGCCCAGTAAAAATGCAATCCATATGTAAAAAACGCACAAAATTATTTTTTACCACATACTTTGGAATCTATTGATGAAAAAATGGGGGCATGTTAAGGCACAATATGCACCTTATGAGATACCCTGGGGTGTCTACTTTTACAAATGGTAGGCCTTTGTGGGGGTTTTTTGAACAGTCAAACTGTTATAATACCCCAAATAGAAGCATAGGCTCATTAAATCCGTCTCTCAAAATTCTACTGTGATTACTGAAAAGGACAGGTCTCCTATATGGCACTGTAGCTTCACGAAATAGTGCCAGACATACAATGGGGGTGTCATTTTACTCAGCAGATGTAACTGAACACAAAATAAAACTTTGTACAGTAATAGCACACACCAACTTTACAAAACACACACAAGAAGTGCTTTGTTATAAGTTTGTGTGCCAAAAACAAAAAACAAAAAAAAAAACACAATTTTACTCCAATATTTAGCAGAGGTTGGCGGTGAAATGGCTACGTAGAAAGTGTCAATACAACCTTATGTAAATAGCCTGTGATGTCTACTTTATATAAATATATACTTTTGTGTGGCAATTTTGTTTTCTTTTATGGCTATTAAGCTTACAAGACAAACATACCAAATTCTAAAATCGCTCCACATTAAAAGTTTATTTTACTCATTGTGCTTTGTGACCTGTAACTACCAAAAAAAAAAACTTAAAATCCCAGACACATTATATATTCTGTAAATCAGAACAACTAAATGAATTTATTGTTTTATTACTTACCTTAACCTGCACTAATTATGCACACATTATTATTGCAAAAACTGTAAAAAAAAAAAACCACAAAATGTTTTTTTGTTTTTTTGCATATTTCTGTATTTTTTTTATAATAAATAAGCATTTATATATATATATATATATATATATATATATGTTACATCAAATTAAAGCCCTTTCTGTCCTTTAAAAAATGATACATAATATGTGTCGGTGCAATAAATTAGTAAAATGCAAACTGCAGTTGAACGCAAACAGCAAAAAATGCTGTTGTCATTAAGTGACAGACAAGCTTCTGAAGCTCTGTCCTTAAGGGGTTAAGTGGCTAATCAGGACAAAAAAAAAATATTTACAGAGCAAAGATAACTCAGTGAATTAATAACATCAATTATGTAGTCAAACAATGCAATGTTAATAAGTAATACAGTTGTGACACTAAAATCCATACTTCTAAAATGGTAATTTTGAGCAGAATCCTAAATTTGCTAAATATAGGCCAGAATAACTGAATATGACCCACTCTGAAACTCAGCTATATTCCCAACTTAGCTATTGTGGCCTAAATTTAGAAACTGTGGCTTCCAGGTCACCACAACTTACTGTTTAGTAAATATAGACCCTAGTTTTGCATGAATTCTATGATATATTATTCTAAATAAGAAGTTATATTTTTGCTATTATAACCTCTTCCTGAGCTTAAAATTGAGGTGGTGATCTGTACTCACCTGGCCTCTTACCACATAACAAATTATATTCGTAAGTTAAATGAGGTCTGTGATGTTTATGACATGTATATGAATTCATATAGAATTTAGCCTTGTTTGGTAGGAAATGTGGACAGCGTCTAAAATCAGAACATGGAGAATTGCCAATGACAACAAAATGTTGTGTTTTGCAGAACTATTAAGGGAACAGCAATGTCTAACAAGAATCCTCATACACAAGGCACATTGGTGTTGAAATCAGCAAGCTTAAAAATGGCAACCTTTTGTGCACTTATTCACAAAAAAAAAAAAAAGCAGAAATAGCCCTGAAATAGGAACTATAAAGTGTGCCCTGGATATATCCAAAAAGGGGGTAACTCTGAATATACACTTGCAAAGAAAAAGAAAGATCCTAGGACAAAATGTCCAGGATACACAGGTTGGATATATCAGAGAGGACTGTTACTAATAAAAACCATACATTTTAATCATAAACATAAACAAAAATTAATAAATAAAAAAACACACACACATAACCCCATAAAGAGGAAAAAATAAATAAAGCTCAAAGGGCTAGAAAGGGAAAATCAAATAGAAGGGCAAAATCAGAGGTTAATTGCTCCTATGTGGCATCTACACCATATAAGAATGATTTATAAAGCCTGTAATGTCTACTAAATAGAACTCCCTAATGCACAATTTCTCAATAATAGAGTCCTAAAAGGAGTAATATCTGCACTATAAAGACATAGGCTAGATCTGTAAACACTCTGGTCCCAAATGTAACAAAACTCAAGGATTAGTAACACTATAGGTATATAGTGATCGGGTACAGGTTAACAGCTATTGGGAAAGAGTTCCCCCTACACTGTTACACATATTAGCCAAAGCCTATCCACTGCTAATCCTATATGTAAAGTTATAAAATCATAGGAGAGGTTAAGTCCCTTACAGAGCTATGTTTAATAACGGCTTAAATTCCCCATAAAATAAACCACTAAATAAACACCCCAAAAAAAAGGGAGTGCTGAAAATAAAGGTGATGTGAATTTTAAAAAATCATCCTAAAGCGTTTCGGCGCTTAAACGAGCGCCTTTCTCAAAGGCTATCAATGAGGACACGGACCTGAGCGTATCTTAATACCCAGAGCATTTTAGTGGAGAACCAATCCACTGTGCAATAGGCGGCGTTTCTTTTTCCTGTGGGGGCGCTATGGTGGCCAGCTCTTAGCGTATTCCCTGCCTTTGAGGCAGATACCCCCTGGGATATGTGTACTACTGGTTGAGAAACAAGGGTGGAAGAGATGGTTCCACTTTAAAGGACCACTATAGTGCCAGGAAAACATACTCGTTTTCCTGGCACTATAGTGCCCTGAGGGTGCCCCCACCCTCAGGGTCCCCCTCCCCCCCGGCTCCAGGGAGAGGAAGGGGTTAAAAACCTACCTTTTCTCCAGCGCCGGGCGGGGAGCTCTCCTCCTCCTCTCCGATCGTCCCTTTCGGCTGAATGCGCACGCGCGGCAAGAGCTGCGCGCGCATTCAGCCGGTCTCATAGGAAAGCATTCATCATGCTTTCCTATGGACGCTTGCGTGATCTCATTGAGATTTTCACAGTGAGACTCACGCAAGCGCCTCTAGTGGCTGTCAATGAGACAGCCACTAGAGGATTTGGAGGCTGAATTAACCCTAACATAAACATAGCAGTTTCTCTGAAACTGCTATGTTTATTTAAAAAAGGGTTAACCCTAGCTGGACCTGGCATGCAGACCACTTAATTAAGTTGAAGTGGTCTGGGTGCCTAGAGTGGTCCTTTAACTAACTTTAAATGGACTGAGTAGCCAGACATTAAGCCACCATAATTCAAAGTGGAACCATTGACACATTAGGGTCTTTTGTCCAGGTTGTGCTACCCAACAGGGCTTATAGGAAATACAGTAGATAGACAGCAAATAGAAAGAGCAATGCTCGACAGTGCCACTAGCTTGTTTTTGCCATACTTACCATAATTTTCTTTTTCTGGCTATTATTCATGGCAGCATCACTTATGGGTAGCTCCGCCCTCAGGACCAGAACAGGACAGGAAATAGAATTCAAATGAAACCAGGTGTAAAAAGGGTCCCATCTCCCTTCACACACCAGTCAATTTTTAAGCTAGTAACTCACGGTGGTAACTTGATACTGCCATGAATAATAGCCAGGAAAAGAAAATTACGGTAAGTATGGTTTAAATTTTCCTTATTCCTGGCTAATCATAGCAGCATCACTTATAAATAATACTTATTTGGGTATTACCCATAAGTATTTAAAATTGTGAACAGAAGACAAAACCCCTCTTCCAAAAGTAGTAGATGAGGAGGCCAGATCCAATTTGTAATACTCTCCCTCCCAGAACCTCCCACCCCCTGGACAGCTCACTAAGAATGCAGCTTCACAATGAATGTAAAATGGATGCTGTCCAGGAGGTGGGAGGGTCTGGGAGGGAGGGTCTGCTGCTGATTGGCTGGAATGTGTCTGCTGACTGTGAGGTACAGGGTCAAAGTTTACTCAATGATGAGTCCGCGGTGAACCGTTCGGGACATCACTAATGGTGAATATAAATGTTTTTTGTTTTATTTCCACTGGGGGCATTAGACTAATCACACCAACATTAAAAATAAGTATATTAATTTTTAAATTAAGAGTGTTACTATAAAGTTTAAACAGACCAAGTTCAATTCTCTGCCACTAAATAGTTCTAATTTCTGTTTCTGTTTATGCTGTCCTAGACACACATCCCCAGACTGACTCACACAGCCAACAATATAAAAAATAAAAAATAAATTTAAAACTTTTTTTTGCATTCATTAAGCTAAATTATACGTGCTACGGGTGTATGTCATGTATTGTGACAAATATACCGATATTTTTTACAATCGGTATGAGATTCGTCATTTAATCATTTAATGATTTTGAAAAGTATAAGATGTATCAATAAATATTTATTATTTTTAAATGTGGCTAACTCAATAAAATGTGAATTACAGCTTTGTCAATTAGCTGTGGGCAGCTGCAGCAGCAATCTGTGCTGTTCTGGGACTAACACAAAAATATACGATTAGGAACACTACAATAATTTTCTGTTGTGTATAACGTACATAACTGAACTGCCACTTCTGTGGATTTCACGCTAGTGAATAAAACATTAAAAATCACCTACAACTCGTGAAAACCTTTTGTCATAAGATGCTCTGCTTTCTTTTAAAATTCTATTAAAGATTTAGCAAATTACATCACAATTCTGTCCAGACAAGGTTAAGTCAGCACAAACATGGCATATGAAGAGGAGAAATAGAAGCTTTGTTTAATTTCTCCTATTTTCTTTATACTTTCTCTATGTTGACTAACAGGGAGATAAAATAGAAGTGCCCTTCTGCGGAGTAAAGACTGGTTGATTTCTAGGTTTCACACCTCGCAAATACAATAATTGTTAAATATTACATTATTATCACAACATACAATATGTCACAATATTTAATATCACAACATTAAAAATCCTGGCAAGTGACATTTCCCATTTACGTAAATAATGAACACATTCCATTTGGCATTGCCACACTACTTGTATGCACTATAATACAACATGGCCATTATGATTTTTGCTGAAAACGTGGCATAGGAAATCTAGCTCACAAGTCGTTCACGAAGGGAGAGGGAAGCCAGAACAGAAGAGGGAAAAAGAGTGAATGCGATGGCATAGAACAGAGGAACATGCATGAAGGGAGAAACTATTGCTGTTTAGCACAAAACAAAATTTAAAAAGTCACACGCAATGAAGTCCGTTTCCGATTACAGAGCTGATGATGTCACATATCAAGCTTAATTCAGAGACGGATTACACATTTCTGATAAACAGTGGGCATCTATTTAATTGTATTCTACTTCAGAATTAGAGAGCCACAACGTTTCATTCATTATTAACATTCATTTTAATTGAGAATGCCAATATAAAATAATTTTTACATTATGTAAACATAAAAATATAAATACATTTCACAATTATAAATGTCAATCTTCAAGGTAACACTGTGAAAATATTGGTAATAAAATATAAACAGCAAACCGCAAAATATGGCAAACGGTTAATGTGTTAAGGTTCCTGATTCTTTTCTTCTTTATGATTTACACTGACATCACTCACAAGCTCTTTGAGACGTGATAAATGAAGCATCGCCCTTAAAAAGAAAACAAAATCCTTTAGAAAAGTTATATTTAATTTCTATCAGTGGAAAAAGGCACGTTAGAATGAAAAAAAAAAAAAAAAAATTAATCGACATGCCTCTATTCATGAAAGTAATTGTAAACTAATGACAATCTGGAATTCACTAAGAAGACTTACCATGGAAAACATATGATGTCGCTATATAGATAGTAGGGATCGACCGATTATCGGTTTTACCGATATAAATCGGCCGATATTCGGTATTTTCAACAATATCGGTATCGGCCAATTCAAATACCAATATTGCCGATAAAACCCGGCGGTCCTGGGAGGGCAGGCAGCAAGCATTTACTCACCTCCCAGCAGCTCCCCAGTGCAACTCTCGCGCAGCACGCTGGCCGCGAGACTTACACTGGGGAGCTGGAGGAGCTGCTGGGAGGTGAGTAAACGCTTGCTCTCCGCCCCCCCCCCAGTTCAGCCAATGCCACTGGACCACCAGGGAATGCTATATCCCCCCTCCCTGGCCAGGCAACAAGCAGGGAGGGGGGGGGGCAACAAAAATAAATAAATAATTAAATATAAAAAAATTATAATTTAATAAAAAATGCACACACACACCCCCCATTATATCCACATACACTACACAAACACACTGTATATAATGCAGTGTGTTTGTATAGTGTGTTTATATAATGGACAATACACAAACACACTGCATTATTTACACAAACTATACAAACACACACACTCCAGTATATACACATACACTATACAAACACACTGTGTATATAATGCAGTGTGTGTATATAATGCAGTGTGTTTGTGTAGTGTGTTTATATAATGCACACTACACACACACTGCATCCACAACGCACAAACACACACACACACACACACTGCACAAACACACACTGCACAAACACACACACACACACACACACACACACACTGCACAAACACACACAGCCTCCCCTGTCTAAACACACTGCATCCACTACACGTGGCATGTATATTTTGTGCATTTACCTTTAGAAATAGTTTTTATTTCCAAAATGGTAAATGTACAGAATATCTGCAATTTATACCGGCTATCGGCCTGAAAGTTCACAGAATATCGGTATTGGTATCAGCTCTAAAAAAAAAAAAAAAAAAATCAATATAGGCCGATCCCTAATAGATAACATGATTACATCTAGAGCTTAGACAGAACACCAGCAACTATATAAGTAACAATGTTTGTTCTACTTTGTCGACAATGCAGGTTATCTGTCAGCATTGAAATGCACACTT